ACAGGAGGGTTATTCATCCCACTAAGGATTGCTTTGCTCTCAAGAATAGCATTCAGACCTTGGTTGAAGCCGGCGTTATAACGCTAAGGTAAGCCAATTGAGAACGATAAAACTCCGATGAGTATAAGAGTATAAACTGCTTTTCAATCCTCCAACAGGTGCACGAGGTTAAACTGCTCCCTTACATACTCCAAATAGGTATACGAGTATAAACTGTTCCCTAGTTTTGGTTGGGAAGTTCCTGAAGAATATTACGTTAATATTCTTAAGGATAACCCGGTCAGGTAGCTGAGAATAATGTCTGAACCAGTTCAGCAGAGGAAGCTGGGGGTGGACGATTTATGTAACGGGAAGTTCTTAGAGAATCATATATCCTTAAGGATAACCCGAACACCCAACTGAGTACAATACCAGACCCGGTTTCGCAAAGGAAGCTGGGGATGGATGACTCATGTAACGGGAAGTTCCCAAAAGAAATCCATATAGTGTATTCTTAGGGATAACTCGGTCACCACGGCAAGATGATGAATAAGAAACTCCCATTCAAATTCTCACCGCGTCTGTGCACTCAACACTCTTATTGTTAGAGTCTGGACATAATATTCGGAATTGGTCAAACCTTCCTACAGTTAGGACCAAAACCAAAACCCCCTCTCGATTCCCCCAATGAACGAGAGGTCCACTTTCAAACCGAGCGATCAAACCTTCCTACAGTTAGGATCGTCTCAAACCTCCCAATTGGTCAAAACTTCTTACAGTTAAGACCACAGTCAAAATCTCCTCTCGATTCCTCCAATGAACGAGAGGTCCACTTTCAAATCAAGTGATCAAACCTTCCTACAGTTAGGGTCACCTCAAACTCCCATTTGGCCAAACCTTCCTACAGTTAGGGTCAAAACCATAATTCACTCTCGATAAACGAGAAATTTATCTTTAGTTCGATAATCAAACCTTCCGACAGTTAGGGCTATCCGAATCTGGTCGATTCTCGGAGTGGAGATCCCACTCTTAGTTTCATCTTTTTGGATTCTAGGAGTGGAGATCCCACCTCGAGTCTCCTTTCCAGCTGAAGATAGAATATAAAATTCTTCTTCTTCAGTGTCAGGAGATAGAATATAAAATTCTTCCTCTCCCGCATCGGGTACGTCTTTGCCCTAAGAAAAGACACCACCTTTTCAACCCTCAAAGGTACGGGGAATTTTATCCCGAATCCTAACTAAGGATAAGTCAACGCCTAACACGCGTTGCCGGTTTAGTCTTTCACCGATTGAAGAAGACACCAGAATTCCAGTCTGGGGTATTTTATCCTGAAGCCTAAGTAGGGATAAGTCAGCGCTTAACCTGCGTTGCTGGGTGGTTCGTTCCCGTAAAAACGACCGAGTCTACGTATTCAGCATCATAGCAACAAAAATCCATGCCTTTTATGCATGGGGAATTTTATCCCGAAGCCTAAGCAGGGATAAGCCAACGCCTAACACGCGTTGCCGGTTTAGTCTTTCGCCGATTGAAAAAGACACCAGGGTCTAAGCCTGGGGAATTTTATCCCGAAGCCTAAGAAGGGATAAGTCGTCGTCTAATACGCGGCGTAGGGTACCTTTTCCCTATAAGAAATGGTTAAGTCTATGTGTTTAAAATCATAGCATCAAGTCTGAGAAAAGCGATTTTCTTAGCACAACGTTACATGTGAAACGGGTTTTAATAATTCACATGCTAGCCCGATTCAAACGGTAATTGGTAAAGGCACGTCAAACCCGTTGATGGCTCGGGGTTTGCCAAAAATCCCAAAGTCTATGTCTAACACGCATTGCCGGTTAGTCTTTGACCGTAAAAAAAAAGGACACAAGACCACATATTCAACATTGTGGCAGGTTGTTATTAATAACACCATAGTCCGCGCCTCACACGCATGGGGAATTTTATCCCGAAGCCTAAGCAGGGATAAGTCAACGCCTAACACGCGTTTCCGGTTTAGTCTTTTACTGATTGAAGAAGACACCAGAATCCGAGTCTGGGGATTTTTATCCTGAATCCTAAGTAAGGATAAGTCAGCGCCTAACACGCGTTGCCTGGTAGTCTATTCCCGTGAGAAAGACGAAGTCTACGTATTCAATATCGTAGCACTAAAAGAGTTAACTCTTTTAGCACAACGTTATGTGCAGAACGGATCTAAACAATCTGCATGCTAGCCCGACTCAAACGGTAGTCGGTAAAGGCTAATCAAATCCGTTGAAGGCTGGGGATTAGCCAAAAATCCTAAAGTCAACGCCTAACTGTGTATACTCCAGAAAACGTATGAGTATAAACTGTGTCAACGTACGAGGTTCAAAAACCCTAGGGTCAACGCTGGTCAACGCGTAACCCTAGGTCAACGCCAGTCAACGCGTTGCGACCAAAAGTCAACGTTCGACGATTCGGAACCCTAGGGTCAACGCCGGTCAACGCGTAACCCTAGGTCAATGCCAGTCAACACGTTGCAACGAAAGTCAACGTTTGAGGATTCGAAATCCACACAAGTCAACGTTTGACGATTCGAAACCCTAGGGTCGACGCCGGTCAACGCGTAACCCTAGGTCAACGCCAGTCAACGCATTGCAACCCTAAGTCAACACAATGTGACGGAGGTAGTTCAAAGTCAACTCAATGACACAAGCCAAACTCCATTCAGCAGCTGTAGACTCGAGACTCCGACGACGGCCAAGCGATAAACGCAGCGCCGGAAGAACTTCGGCTATTCGTCAAAGCATCGAATAGACCGAAAATCGAAGGAGCCAAGAGTTGAAGCTAACTACAGGTCCTTACGCCGACTGAAGGCTAGACCAATCACATCCAAAGTATCCCAGCCTCTTCTATAAAAGAAACGAGTCCGGAACGCTTTGGAGGGGGTATCTGTAGGCATCGAAAATTGCCTATAGGTATCCACGAACGGTTCAGTGTTAAAGAGCAACGATGAACGCCACTATCCGATCCACAGGAGTTCGATTGACGTCGATGAACGATTGAAGTGAATCGACGAACTACGTGAGCTGATAGGATTTCGGGATAACAAAGGCACGGGCTAATCGAGAGCCCCGCGATGTTGCAAAAAGAAAAACGCCCTTCGTGTCTCGTTCATTCTACAGATAATCCAACAATTGGAGAAGATAGAACTCTTCGTCAAGCTTCCAACGCACTTGGAATCACTCAAATCCGAGTTCGGACGAAGAATTTACGGCGAAAACAATCGAATGCACCTCAACGGACGTCTCAGGAATTCCAAAACACCCCCAGGGGTGTCTCAGAAATTTCGAGACACCCCAGGGGTGTCTCGGAAATTCCGAGACACCCCAGGGGTGTCTCAGAATTTCCGAGACACCCCAATGTGTCTCGGAAATTTCCGAGACACCCTAGGGGTGTCTCGGATTTTCTGAGACACCCCAGGGGTGTCTAGGCTTTTCCTAGACACCCCAGGGGTGTCTAGGCACCCTAGGTGCCCCCATTGCCTATAAATAGCAACCTAAGGCCTCATTTTTGGAGGATCTGGATTTTTGGAGAGTTGGCGAAGCCCTGCTGCAGTGAAGAGTGGTCGAGCGCTTCAACAGAGGAGAGGTCTTCATCAGATTCTTCATCACCCGTGCCCGTTCCTTTGTATTACCCTTCGTCGGTAATCCTAAGAAGAGCAAATATCTCGTTTTAGCCGAGATAGGCGCTTCAGGATTCTAGATCTCCTCACGGATCGACAAAGCTCTGTCCGATTTTTCTGGAACAGATCTGAGTGCCAGGTAGTCCACGGATATCGACGTCCCCGTCACAGGCCAAAGACCCACGCAAGCAAGAGACGATAAATGGATCTTGTGTTTATTTTCAAGAAAGTTGTAATTTTTATTTTCGTTATTTGAATTCATTTGTAACGACTAAAGTTTTAATGAAATCAATGATGAAGGCAACTTTCGACGAAAACAGATGTTGTTTGCCTCTCCACCGAAAAATGATAATAGACTTGAAATCAAAAGGTTTGTGGATAATCACACTTGTGGGCAGCATGGCAATAATGCTAGTCAATCTAGAGCCTCTAGGCGATTCATTGCTACCCAATTACAACCCACGTTAAAGGTTCGACCGGATATACGTTCTATTGACGTTCAAAAGGAGTTTCTAAGCTCGTATGGGATTAGGGTCGATTATAGTAAGATTTGGTGGGGTAAAGAAAAAGCACAAGAGAAATTATATGGTGATGCCCATGAGTCCTACGATCAATTATGATGGTAAATAGAAGATGATATCTAACAAAAGACAAACTAATTTCCTTTATGTGACGTTGATTATACTAATTTTTCAATGTTGGTACTAACGCTTAATCTTCAATTTTCTAGGTATGTAGAAGAGGTCAAGAAGACAAAACCATGTAGCTATATTCATGTTGAACAATATGAGGGGAGGTTTACATGGTTATTCATATGCTACGCCACCTGCATAAATGGTTTTTTATACGGATGTAGACCACTCATATTTCTGGATGGTATCTTTCTTAAAGATCGATTCAAAGGCATACTCCTAAGCGCCGTAGCATATGATGGAAATCAGGGGATATTTCCATTGGCGTATTGTATATGCGATCAGGAAAATAACTTTAACTAGAAGTGGTTCTTACAAGATTAGTTCTATCTCTAGCCATGTTAGTTCTATTGCAGCTTATGATAATTCTAGCTCATTCATTGCTAACTCTAATTGGTGTATGGTAACCACAACTCTTTGTAGGTTTGTGGTCTATTCTCTATGAAAGGCCAGATCCATACAACCCTCCACACAAGCTAGTGATAATTTCAGATGCGGATAAGGGGATCAGAGAAGTTGTTAGAGAATTTTTTCCAGATTCTATACACTCTCGATGTGTGTTGCATCTAGTTGAGAACTTCAGGACAAAGTTGAAGGATTTGGGATTCAAATCAAAAGATACTCAGATATTGGTTAATCTATTGCAATCTGCCTGTTACAAATATACTAGAGCAGAATAGAACAATTATATGGACGACATTAGACTGGTTGACGAAAGAGCTTATAATATTGTGATGAACTACGCTCCAGAAAACTGGGCCAATGCGTTTTTCCCTGGAGTTAGGTAAGTTATAAGCTATTTCATTACATGACTATTATAAGCCGCTTGACGAATTCCCTATTATGTTTCAGATATGGTCACGTTACATCAAATGTTGCAGAGTCATTCAACAAATGGATACATGAGGCTAGGCTACTACGGATACTTCAACTGGTAGAGCACATACGTAAACAGATTATGGTTCGTATGAATGAGCGACGAACCATGGCTGAAAGCTGGAATCAATTTCTTTGCCCCAAAGCTGAACTTGCTCTCAAAGAGAACATGGAAAATGGCCGTCCATTGGAGGTTCGTCAGTCCCACACAGGATTATTTGAGGTACAATCCCATAGATCTTGTCAAGTGGATCTAGACAATAAAACATGCACTTGCCGTGGGTGGGATGTAACCCGTGTCCCTTGCAAACATGCATGCGCATCCATTATGTTTATGAAAAGGGATGTCTACCAGTTCTGTGACTGGTTTATGACGGTTGAAGCCTTTAAAAAAAGCTACGAGCCAATCCTCTACCCTATACCTGACTATGAGAAGCGCATCGTGCTAAGGGATGAGATACAAATCCTACCTCCACTTACAACAAAAAGGAAAGGGAGAAATAAAACCAGGCGTATCAACTACAGAACTGTTTACACGCGGCCAGTAAAATGTTTTCGATGTCATATGGAAGGTCATAACCGTAAAACATGTAATGAATCTATAGCTGACTAAGTGTTTGATATGTTGAAGTGTTTTCATCCCAGTATGCAACAAATATTTCGTTTTTTGCCGATTGAATGTTTATTCTTGTTAATTGGGAACTAACATCAGCTTACACTAGATAAAAAGTTGTTAGTAACAAAACAACTATCATATTAGGCCTAACACGCACAAAGAATAGAACTAACATCTCAGTTATTCGAGGCGCTGGAGGGGCTAGGAGTAACAAGCCAAAGAATAGAACTAACATGGTATCAGATAGTACTAACATGTAATAAAGCTGAACTAACTTGGTATCAGAACACGTTACAGAATAAAACTAACGTTGTGAACATTAGAACTAACACGCTAGAGAATAGAACTAACACTGTGTAAATTAGAACTAACACTGTATAGATTAGAACTAACACGATACAGAATAGAACTAACACTGTGCAGATTAGAACTAACACGCTACAAAATAGAACTAACATTGTGCAGATTAGAACTAACACGCTACAGAATAGAACTAACACTGTGCAGATTAGAACTAACACGCTACAGATGGTATAAATTAGAACTAACTTGGTATAAATTAGAACTAACTTGGTATAAAATGAGAACAAACTTGGTATAAAATAGAACTAACTTTGTATAAATTAGATCTAACATTGTATAAAATAGAACTAACTTGGTATAAATTAGAACTAACTTGGTATAAATGAGATATAACGTGGTATAAATTAGGTTTATAACGTGGTATAAATTAGGTTTATAACGTGATATAAAATAGAACTAACACAAATTAGATATAACGTGGTATAAATTAGATCTAACGTGGTATAAATTAGGTTTATAACGTTGTAAAAAATAGAACTATCTTGGTATAAATTAGAGCTAACGTGGTATAAATTAGGTTTATAACGTGGTATAAAATAGAACTAACTTGGTATAAAATTAGATATAACGTGGTATAAAATAGATATAACGTGGTATAAATTAGGTTTATAACGTGGTATAAAATAGAACTAACATAAATTAGATATAACATGGTATAAATTAGATATAACGTGGTATAAAATAGAACTAACAAGCCATCAGTTATAAATAAAACTAACACGCTACAGAATAGAACTAACACTGTACAGATTAGAACTAACACGCTACACAACACTGTGCAGATTAAAACTAACACGCTACAGAATAGAACTAACACTGTGCAGATTAGAACTAACACTCTACAGAATAGAACTAACACTGTGCAGATTAGAACTAACACGCTACAGAATAGAACTAACACTGTGCAGATTAGAACTAACACGCTACAGAATAGAACTAACACTGTATAGATTAGAAATAACACGCTACAGAATAGAACTAACATGTTATAATTTAGAAATAGCTTGTTGTAAAATTTAGAAATAACACGCTACAGAATAGAACTAACATGTTATAATTTAGAAATAGCTTGTTGTAAAATAGAAATAACTTCGTTAAATTAGAACTAACCTTGGAATAAATTAGAACTAATGTGGTTAAAATTAGAACAAACTTTTTTTTTAAATTAGAACTAACTTGGTATAAATTAGATCTAACGTTGTATAAAATAGAACTAACTTGGTATAAATTAGGTTTATAACTTGGTATAAAATAAAACTAACACAAATTAGATATAACGTGGTATAAATTAGATCTAACGTGGTATAAATGAGATATAACGTGGTATAAATTAGGTTTATAACTTGGAATAAAATAGAACTAACATAAATTAGATATAACATGGTATAAATTAGATATAACATAACGTGGTATAAATTAGGTTTATAACGTGGTATAAAATAGAACTAACATAAATTAGATATAACGTGGTATAAAATAGAACTAACAAGCCATCAGTTATAACTGAAACTAACACGCTACAGAATAGAACTAACATTGTGCAGATTAGAACTAACACGCTACACAACACTATGCAGATTAGAACTAACACACTACAGAATAGAACTAATACTATGCAGATTAGAACTAACACGCTACAGAATAGAACTAACACTGTGTAGATTAGAAATAACACGCTACAGAATAGAACTAACATGTTATAATTTAGAAATAGCTTGTTATAAAATAGAAATAACTTCGTTAAATTAGAACTAACCTTGGAATAAATTAGAACTAATGTGGTTAAAATTAGAACAAACTTTGTTTAAATTAGAACTAACTTGGTATAAATTAGATCTAACGTTGTATAAAATAGAACTAACTTGGTATAAATTAGAACTAACTTTGTATAAATGAGATATAAAGTGGTATAAATTAGGTTTATAACGTTGTAAAAAAATAGAACTAACGTTGTATAAAAAAGAACTAACTTGGTATAAATTAGATATAACGTGGTATAAATTAGATATAACGTAGTATAAAATAGATATAATGTGGTATAAATTAGATTTATAACGTGGTATAAAATAGAATTAACATAAATTAGATATAACGTGGTATAAATTAGATATAATGTGGTATAAAATAGAACTAACACGCCATCAGTTAGAACTAAAACTAACACGCTACATAATAGAACTAACACTGTGCAGATTAGAACTAACACGCTACAGAATAGAACTAACACTGTGCAGATTAGAACTAACACGCTACAGAATAGAACTAACATTGTGTAGATTAGAACTAACACGCTACAGTATAGAACTAACACTGTGTAGATTAGAACTAACACCATATATATTAGAACTAACATGTTATAAAATATAAGTAAAAGGGTGCAGATTGTATAAGTAAAAGGGTGCAGATTGGAACTAACACAATATTAGTTATACTAATATATAAGAACTAAGACGGCATCTCTGTATTTGGGTTAAGATTAGTAACAAACTATTTTCTGGATAAGCAATATTTAACAAGAACTAACTGGATTACGGGGTGGGGGGGTTGCAATACGCAATGATGCCAGGTCTTCATTTGTTGCTGCCCTCGCTGGATCTGTTTCGGTCTAATAAACCATTTTCGCTGTCACTCGCCTTCCTTTTCGAAGGTCCTGGCTTACTGCGCTTTGAGGAAGGAGAACTAGATTCCGCTGAGCCACTGTGGGAGACGACGGGGTGTAAAGGGAGAGGAACATTGCCCGTAGGGAGAGACCTCGGAGAATTGGCACCCCCGACCCCTTGGTTAGGGAGAAATAGCTGCCATTGGTCTCTCTCGACCGTCATGTGTTTGCCACCCCAACTAACCTCAATTAACTCTGGGTCGGTCCTAAAGGGCTGCGCACGCTGGGGCCCTAAGTTGAGTCGTGTGGATCCCTAAGCCCTCTCCAAATTCCCCTCGCATTGGACCTGCGTGATGGCGTATCCTTATTTGGCGTTACCGTCCATCGGTGAGATGTAACGGAACACAAGCCTCTTAGGGATTTTAGATAAATCCCTAACCTTGAGTAGAACTCTACAGTCTTTGAAGTTAGAATGTGTTATGACGTCCCTGGAGCACATGACACATTCACCGATACCAATGAGCAGAGATTGAAGAAATTCAAAATTCCAGAGGTGGTATGGGAGATTGAATAGGTGAATCCATACTAGAAAGGGTTGAGGCAACGCTGTTAGCCTCAGATCCTCTTTCCAACGACGGAATCTACCCTTAAATGTGCCCATATCTATTAAACCGAGTTCAATAGCTTGGGCAAGAACTTCATCGGATGGAAACTGCACCATGAAGCTGTGCCCTGCCGCCTCCTTGATTTGATGGGGCCATGTCCTAAGATTGAAGCGGTAGGCCAGCATCTCTCGGAGCTCCTGCATAGATGGACGACCTCTATCAAGATTGAAGATGGCGTAAGAAGAAAGATGCCGTATGGTGCTGGAGGTGTTGGCAGATTGGGTTGTTAAAATTATGGTTTGAAAGGAACTGTGTTTCCCCTAAGAAAATATTGGGTCGAAGCGGGAGTGAAGTTATGAGTTCCGGGAGAATTTCCTTGATTCCATGCAAAGTTGGGATGATTTCTCCAACCTGGATTGTAGGTTGGAGAAAATGGATCATTTCTAGGGTGTTGGAATGCAGCGTTCATCTGTTCTAATACATGGTTGTTTCCTAGGAGAGGGCATTCCTCTGAAACATGGGTAGGAGACTGATTGAGTTGAGTTGGAGCTCGTTCCTTAATTTCTAAGGCTTCTAACCTCCGCAGAATTGTCGCCATCTTCGCTTCAGAAGTATTTGACTCCAAGGAAAGACCACTAGACTTAGAATGGGGAACTGATGAAACCCTGTCATCACAGTATTCCTATTGCATTGTTTTCTCGGATAGACACTCTAGAAATTCCCAAGCTTCATCGACATTTTTTCTCATGAAATCCCCGTGGCACATTGATTCTAAGGATGTTTTTGCAGAGTAATCTAATCCCTCATAAATTATTTGGCACAATCGCCATTTTTCTAAACTGTGATGAGGACATTGGATGAGAAAATCTTTAAATCGGTCAAAATACTTCCAAAAAAGTTCACCCGGGACAATTTTAAAATTCATGATGATGTTTCTTAGCTTTACCATTTTATGGATAGGAAAATTTTTCTTAAGAAAAATGGTGATAAATTCCTCCCAAGTAGTGATGGAATTTACGAGTAAGCTATACATCCATTTTTTTGCTTTGTCTTTGAGAGCAAATGGAATAAATCTTTGTTTGATCGCATCTTCTGTTAATTCTCTTATTTTAATCATAATACACACTTCCTCAAATTCCGAGATAAAAATATATGCATCTTCTGTTTCATTACCAAGGAATTTGGGAAGCATATTTATGTAATACGGTCTAAGCTCAAAATTTATTCATTTTGTTTCAGGGAGCCTAATGCAAGAGGGGATTGCATTCCTAATGGGATAGCACATATCTTGAAGAACGGGTGGATTAGGATGCTCCATTTCTATGATTGGTTCAAAGTGAATTAAACGATGTGTATTATCCCTAATCCACTGTTGCATACACCAACTATTTCTTTTTATACTTTTTTTTTATAAAAGTTAGTTTTTTTTAAATGAGAAGATAAAGAAAAAGAAAAATCCTAACTAAAACAAATCAAAGCAATCACTTTCAATCACTCTAATTCTAGGGTTTAGCCTAAATCACTAGACCAGCTCCTAACCAAAAACTCCTACAGTGAAAAGATTAAAGTTTTACCCAGGTAGTTAGCCAGGTAAGGATAGTACTAGAGGGTGATCAGAGATCAATTAAGTACCTCATTCCTTACGGAGCGCTTTACGCAACCCCTAAACCTTACCTTAGACACAAACTATTCTGAGAAAACTCAAACCGGTTCACTTAAGGATTTCTTGTTCCTTATTGAGCTCGAGTCCTTAGGGGCCAACGTTTAATGAGTTTTATTAGGCTTGGGTAGTGTAGTGAGGAATTAGTGATTTTTGGGCTAAGGAAAGGGTGATGAAATCCTTCACCTTATCTTGATTATGGGGTTTTGCCCTTAAAAATATTTTTAAGTGTGTGCCAAATCAAGATGCTCAAATCACTTGGTGAATTTCTACTAATAATATGAAATGCAACCCTATGAATTTAAAGCAACTAAAAAGGATGGAAAAGTAAAAAAAATCTTTTTTTTAATTAGGGTTAACAATCAAACAAATGAGAAGGGGGAAATTATTTGAATTTATTTAACAATCAAACAAATGAGAAGGGGGAAATTATTTGAATTTATTATCTTGTTAGTAAATGTCAAAGTGAAAGATGGATTTTATTATGGTCAACAAAAATAATTTTTTTTAAATCCTAATTGTCTCTAATTGTGAAGCTAACTAAAAGGGGTGGAATTAAAAACGTTAGAAAGAAGACTTACCCGAAAGCAAATCTTCAAATCCTAGTTTTCCAATCCGCGATCTTCAAGCTCCAAGCATTTCCTTCACAATAAACACACAAGTTAAAGAACCAAAATAATTAAAACCTACTTAAGCACCCTCCCCGGCAACGGCGCCATAAACTTGATGCAGTATAAACATGTACCAAAAAAGTTGTAAGTGCACAACCGTGTTAAGTTATAATATAAAGATATCGATCCCACGAGGAAGATGTTTTGTAGGAGAAAATATAAAATCGGTTCTTATGTTGTGTGCGTGACAAATAGGAGTGATGAGTCAATGTGATTGTGGAGAGATAATGAGAGTGATAGTGTGTAGATCAATGTGTTTGAGAGTGGATGTGAGTAAGAATAGATGTGATCAATAAGGCAAGAAAGAAGAATGAATAAAATCGAGAAACAAATAAAAATCAAGAATGAAAAATAAAATTCAAGAATAAAAGAAAATGCAAGAAATTAAAGATGGTGGATTCAATTATAGATATGGGTAATCTAAAATCAAACTCACTTTTTAAAAAATGATGATTCCCTAGAGGGTTCTAGACTAAAGGCGAATCAAACAAAATAAAAATAAACAAAAAGAAAAACTAAACCCAAGAGGGTTCTAGCCTCAAGGTGAATAGTACAAGAAATTAAAATCTAACTACAAAATAAATTACAAAATCTATAAAATAGATCTACTCTATAAGCATAAAATAAATCTAAGGCAAGAGGGTTCTAGTCTCTTGGCTATTTAACAAGAAAATAAAATCTAATTACAAGCATGAAAATAAATCTAAACTAATAAGCAATAAAAGAGAAATAAGAAAAATAAACCTTCAAATAAATATCCATCTTCATCTTCATCATCCAACAAAGAGAAGAAGAGAAAATTTTAAAGTGGTGAAAAAATTATTATTATTAATTGCAATAAAAGTTACAATTTTGAAAGGTCTTCTCAATTAAGAGTAGCCCTCTTCTCCAAAAGGAGTTACAAAAATTTTCACACCTCTAACCCCTCACTCTCTACCCCTATTTATAGTAAACATCAGTGAATATGAGCCATTGGATCAAAATCTTATCCACAACAATTGATTTTCAGCCATTGAAGCATAACAGACTCCGTTGGTATCGATGCCAGCATCGATACGGGCATCGATGCTGGCATTGATGCCCCCATCGATGCTGGCATCGATGTCAGCTGTTTCCTGGTTGTTGTCCGCAGATCCCTCTTGAGTTTGCTCTTGGGCTTGGGCCTTGGACACTTTCTTGGCAATTTTGGGCTTTAATACTTCATTAAATATTTGAAATAAATTGTTTGGCTTCATGGGCTTCATTTCTTTAATAAATCAAGGGCTTTTTGTTGAGAGATGGGAGTTTGAGATTTATTCTTCATTAACCTGCATTTAAAGATAAAAGCACTTATTAGTAGTATATTTATTCATATAAAATAGATAATGAGGGTATAAAACTGTAATAAAATGTGATTATCACTCTTCAACAATCTTATGTACATGTTCTTGCATGGTGGGCTCTTTGTTATATACACTGCTTGTTTTGGACTTCTGTTCCTCTTGAGCTTCCAGTCGCTTCTTCCTAATTTCATTTGCAATTTTCTGTTTGATATTTGACTTAAGCACCACCGGGTCTATAACCTCATCATGTCTTCCACATTTTTCAATTATCCTGTTAAGCCTGTTGATATCAATCATGAATTCTTTACAATAATTGCTCTTGGTCTGCTTTGTAGCATCAAGAAGTCGCTTGAGAAATTTAGCAGAATTTCTCCAAAATGTGAGTTGCTGCTCAATGGGAAGAACATTGATCTCCTCTTCATCGTCAAAAGCAACGTCAATATGCTTTGCCATGATCTGTTATTGATACAAGATTATAATTTTAAGTAGGATTAAACATAATTAGGATATTCTTTGCAGTTAGTGTGAAATGAGTACGACTTAACATAACAGGATACTTACGTAACCTATTGAGAAGTTCTTAGTAGTTTCTTCCTGCAAAGTCTTCCTCTTTGCCTGACGCTTTTGCTGAAGAACTTCATCCCTCTGTTCAGCGGGAAGTGAATGAACATGACCAGGAGAAGCGACCTCCGCAATAGGCCTATGGACAAATGTTATTGACGCTGACTTAGCCTTTGAAATAATTGTCGGCATCCTCATAGATGCGATTCTCTCCTCCCCTAATGCCCAATTTGTCATTGGAGGTCTGGAGGTGTCTAAGAGGGCATATTTCTTTATGCCTGTCATCTCGTAGTACCAAAGCTGTACCAAATATATTTACCATTAACATTTAATACTAGACTAGACCAAAGAGAATAAAATATGACTGCATCTAGAACTAACATGGTATATCTTAAAACTAACAAGGTGCAGATTAGAACTCACACGAAACAAATTAGAACTAACAAAATCTGTAACAGAACTAACATGGTGTAGATTAGAACTAACATGGTATACATCAGAATTAACATAGAATAAGTTAGAACTAACAATGCATAGGTACGAACTAGAATGAAACAAGATCAGTAAAATATGGAACTTACACACAATAGTGTCATGCAACCTGGGACATATGCGACCCTTTGCTTCTTCTTTCCCTCCAAAGCAAGTCCAATGCCCCTGATAATTTCATTATAAAAGAACTTGGCCCATGCAACAGAATTGACCCTCTGAATGCTATCTAGGTACCTGAGTAAGGGTCTAGGGATACCTTCCCCTGCTATGGGACTCCATATCATAGAGCATTGGTACAGAATTTGTAGCAGAACAAAATCCTCGATATCCCGCTTTTTTGTAGATTCAACTAGCCGTTCAAGTAGCCCTTCAAGATGTTTACGTTGGGTGGTTTCTGCTTTTTTTAACTTCTTACCCTCTTCAGAAATGAAATGATTAGTGAAGTATTCCACCCATATTATGCTTCTTGAGTCCCTATTGTTACTTATGACTTCCCCATAAATTGGGAAATGAGTATGGTTATGGACCCATTGCAAATTAAAACTAACATTTTTCATACACCCACTTTTTGAATCAGGTATACAAAAGGTGTTATTATCTCTGTCAAAAAAAGCTCAGCAGCAGCTCAAGGGTGGGCCGATCAGGCACATGAGCCCCAAATAAAATATAGTGCTGAAATATAGAACCGCAGTATGCATCCCTATGCCACTGACGGATCTTCGGGGCAATGCGCTTCATGAATCCCCAATAAGCCCCGATATTGGCCGTTAACCTTAGTGTTTCTACTGAGCCTGTTAGAGCAACTTTTAAGACATATGAACTCATATTAGACCTAGCACTAACGGGAACAAAATAGAGCTAACACGTAGTGTTATAGAACTAACATTGGACTCAAACTAGAACTAACATTGGACTCAAACTAGAACTAACATTGGACTTAAACTAGAACTAACATTGGTCTCAGACTAGAACTAACATTTAACTCAAACTAGAACTAACATTGGACTCAGCCTAGAACTAACAATATTGGGGTAATCTGCATTGTCTCTTTGCGGTATAAACCCGTATTCTTGAAGATTAAACCTAGCCATTGCCGTTGCCGAATACTGAATAACATAACACTTACTGTTTTTTTGAGGGGGGGTTGTTGGTATGACCAGCCATTACCGTCCTCCTTTTCTGGGCTCGCCATTGTATTGCCTCCTTTTGCATTTCGATTAGGGTTTGCGTAGCTTCCGTAGCTTCCTCCGTGCTGCCACCCGCAGATGAAGCGCCTTTTCCTTCCAACTAGGCTCGACGAACGACCTCATAGTCGTTACTGGATCCTTCCATAGACAACATTTTCCCGGCGAAAACCCTAGAAACGTTGAAATCTGTACAGAAATTAGGAAGATGAAGAGTTTTTGAGGGTGCTAGGTGGAAGAGAGAGAAAGAGAGGGAGAGTACTTGTAAAGGTATGGGGCGCATTAACCCAGTTCAGTCCCATCAGAGGGCAAGATCGTAACTTCCTCTGGGCTTTTTCTGAAAAAAGTCAATTCGGGGCCTCGTCGCAAATACTATGCGTATTTGGGACTATTCCACATGGGGCAAAGTACAAGGGGGATAGTCACACGAAGTTCCCACTTTTGGGGCCTGGACACATTTTTCCCTTAGATTTTTATTAATACAATTATAAACATAAATATTGATTCAGATATGGATATGAATACGGGTTTTGATACATATACATATATTGATAAATTCCCCTATTTTTCATAAATTTGCATTTTATGATGTAGGTATGATGCGGTCCTATTAAAGTTGCAACCTGGTCATAATATATACACAAATGTGATAGAAAAGACAAAGCTAGATAAAAAATTGGCCGCAACCAGTTACTAGGCTTTGCTTCATCAAAAGCCATAATAGAAAACATACATCTTCAATGGGCAAATCCTTCGGAGATGCCCAGAACTTTATTGCTAATGCACATCCACAATGCACTACAACTAAAATTATATGTGTTCACACTTATTTTATGACACATATAAAAGTGTCATTTTATTTAAAGATGATTAAACAATAGTTTCACAAATAAAAATTTAGTAAATCACGATACATATTTACGCCATTAGATATACAAGTAAATACAATTGAAAAAGACTATAATAGTCCAACAAGAATTGTGAAAGGATCTATTACTGTGCTTAAATAATAAATCTTATATTTTAATTATGATGAGGATTAAACATTTATGATAGTGTATAAGCTAAAAAACTCCATAGATAAGTATGCTTTGGTGAGAGTAATCATAAGATGAGTGACCTTCTGAGAAGTAATAGTGTTGAATGATGATAATTATTACAATTTTATGGTCTAGACACAACTATGGGTCACGAGTTTTATGACACATATATGTCACCGCTCTCAACATATATATACATGTGTCATGAGTTTCGTGACACATTCTCATATATATAGAAAGACGCTCTCCAGACATACTATAACCATACTTTTGATATGTGCCGCACTCTATTTGTACAAAACAAAAATGTACCGTATAGAGACAAAAAATGTATCATAATTTACAACATTTATTGTAGTGATGGGACAACTTTCCTCGCTGAAGATTCCGTCACCAATGTACATCGGCAATGGAGAATCCGTCGCTGATGTTTATTTTCCTAAAAAAAAAACAAAAAATAGATTAATTGTCTGTTTTGTATACAGTGATATTCTTTTTTTTGGTAAATAAAAAATTTTATTTACCACCAATATGTGAAGTGTATATACATCAATCATCTCATCATTTGTATGAGATCATAAAAGAAAACCTGAAATCTAAAGCTCAAGTGAACTATTATGTACAGAGTATAGAAAGTATGAGCGTAGTTATAAAGCTAAGTTCCTCTTAACCAGTCGAAATCTGGAACTATTTCTTCTGTGAGCTTCCTCAAATTTTGCATTTTTGCAATGTCAACAAGCATCTGACAGTAAGCTGAAAACCTGCTCTATAAAGATAATATCCAGTCTTTATTCTCTGCAGCAGTATTGCTATTTAGAATGGTTGTCATCAGGTACACCTTGATGATCTTGATAACAAGCATTATATCTCTGCTTTTTTTATTAAAGATCCTCCCATTTCGTTCAATCCAGATATTATAGATAGTGGATGTAAATGCCATTCTTTTAACTTTGTGCTTGAACCTTTTCCCCCTTAAGTTGCATCTATACCAATTCAATAATTGGTTTAAATCACAACTTCTCCACTTAAAACAGAGCCATTCCATTATCCCATTCCAAACTTCTTTAGAAAAATTGCATTCAAAGAACAGGTGATTAGAGCTTTCTGTTTCTGCTCCCGAGCATAAAAAACATCTATTTGCTTGAATGATCCCTCTCCGCAGCAGTTTATCTTGGGTTAAGAGTCTATCTTGGACTGCTAACCATGATATAAAAGATTGTTTAGGTAGGTTAAACCCCCCCCCCCAGATAGTTACACTCCATGGCACTTTGTTGACAGCAGGAGATAGAGCATGATATAGATCTGACAACTTGATTTTTGAATTCCTGCAGCAAGAACTGATTAGATTCTTCAGATTTTCCAATCCTCCACATTGAGAAATGCCTTTATTCCTGGCTTTAATTAACCGCTTCGACATCCAAGAATCACTAGCTTTCGTTTCCACTCTCCATACTTCCATATACTTTAGATAGTTGCCATGGATCCATTTGATCCATAATAACTCTTTGTTGACATGGATGACCCATAATAACTTCAGAGCTGCTGCCAAGTTCCAGATAGCAGATGAGAAAATTCTCAGTCCACCGTACAATTTGCTTGTGCACACTCTGTCCTAAGAAACCAGTGATTGTTTAAATGTAAGATCACCCTTACCCCAGAGGAAATTCCTACAAAGTTCATCCACTTTGTGCAGCACTTTCACTTGTAGAACATAGCTAGAAGTAAAGTAAATTTGTATTCCCAGAATTACACTTTTTATCACCTGTAATTTTCCAGCATATGACAGTTTTCTGTTCTTCAAACTGTTTTGTAATTGACTGGAGATTTTGCTTATGAGAGGGTTACAATCCAGGTAGTTTAGCCTCTTGCATACAAGAGGTACACCTAGGTATTGTTCGCGGGGAAAATCGTTTTCGTCATTGATGTCATTGTGATCTCAAAATAACAACTTTTTGTGGTTACAAAAGATCCGGTTTTTTTTAGATCCGGTTACAACGAAATCAAAGAAAATAAAAGAAAATTACAACTTTCTCCTTGTGAACAAATCGCGAGCTCCTGTTTTGCGGTCACTCGCTTTTGTGGGTTCTTTGCCAATGCCGGGGTTAATCCGTGGACCACCACGCGATCTAGATCCGGTCGGATCTACAGGTATTAGTTCACTAAGGAAATAATCACTCGGATCTCGGGATCTAAGACCAAGCTTAGATCTGGAGTGTGATCTCGTGTAGATCTCAGATCTGTTCTTCCCTTCTCTCGAACTCCTGCCTTTTGTGACGTGGATGCTCGCCGAGGATCAGATCTGGATGTCCAAGTCTTCAAGTCTTCAAAACTCTAAGCTCGATCTTCAATCCGGCAGAGTTTCGGCTCTCAAAAGTCCAACCTTTTAAAATGAACAAAAGGGGGCCTATTTATAGGCTACCCTCACTGTGCCTTGGGCACAGTGCAGCCGGCCACCTTGAGGTGGCTCGGCTCTGGGCCGGCCACCTCAAGGTGGCTCAGCCACCGAGCCACCTTAGGGTGGCTCGGAGTTCGAGTCCGAAACCGATCTTGATTCGGTCGTGATTCATCCGAGTCCGCTCTTGTTTGGATGACTCGTTGACTCCCTGAACCGTTGGCTTGATTCCGCACGCGAATGGATGTATTCCGTTGCTTGTGTGCGATTCGTCGATCTCGTCGCCTCGTTGGTTCGTCGGTTTGTGCCGAGCTGTGCTAAGGGACCTATAAGCAATTTTATACGCCTATAGATACCCCCTCCAAGGTATTTCAGCCTCGTTCTTTTATAGAAGAGTCTGGAATACTTTGGATATGATTGTCCCAACCTTCAGTCGGTGTAACGGGACCTTGGAATGGCTTCTGTTCTTGATTCCTTCAATTCTTCAGGCTATTCGGTGCTTTGTCGAATGTCTGTAAGAGTTCCGGTGCTGCATTTATTGTCTGACCGTTGTCGGAATTTTAAACTTGAAGTCGATTCCTGACTTTCTAATCTTCAGCTGACCATCGATTGTTGGCGTCGAGTCTTTATCTGCAACGCGTTGTCCGGCGTAGTGTTGTTGAGTTATCCTTAAGA